AAAACTTATGAATATGCAGGACAGCACCCAAAATAAGGATCTTGTATCTGTAAAACTATTTTTTGATGAAAGTATCTACCACCTTAATCAGATTTGGCTACCTCCTTTTTCGCCATCGCTTTCCAGCATGCATAAGGCAAGGTTCACTGTCCACGAGTTTTCTTTGCTTGTGTGACTTAGAGATCCAATCCTGAGACAAGGCAAGAGGACCCGAAACAATTATTCCTAGCACTGACAGTTCGCGGCGGCTTCTCATGGGCGGCTCCTCGTGGTGGCAGCGGACGGCACAGCAGTGGGACGCACATGAACATCAGCAGCGCCCGAGAACAGCAATCGTACGTCGAGTTGTAACACCTCTGGTGTTTTGACCTAAAACTAAAACTTGACATGTCATCATGTGCATTGCAAAGCATTCATAAAGTAAAAAATTTTGAATGCATTCACTAAATAAGCTTTATTTCATAAGTTGCTATTTTATGTGATGTAATGTGATTCAAAACTCTGAATGAAAATCAGGACCCCAAGGGTCAAATTTCATGTGATCATGTGAGACCATGTGTCATTTGACTCAAATAACCCTAATGGGCCATGTAATTGGTCAAAAACCATAATTAAGTAAAAAGGGTAAACAAATCAAATTTAAATCAAATTTAAATTATAAAAGTCATTTTTGCCCCTTTTGTCTATTTCAAAATCCATTTGGAATTTGGGTGTGTGACAAAAAGCAAAGTTGAAGCTTATTTTATAAGGATCAACTTTGGTATTCAAAGTTTTTAAAGTTTACATATAAAATTTGGAGTAATTCTGAAATGATTCAAATGCTCAAATGCACCCCAAATTTAAATTTTAAAATAGAGGCAGAATTTGAAAATATTCCTTGAAGCAAAGTTGTAGAGTTTGAAAAGTTGAGCAACTTTCATTTTCGGAGATTTTCAACTTCTTTAGAAAAATTGTGAGTAATTTGCAAAATGAACTCAGTGGCAATTCTGTAATTATTCGGAACAATAGCACGACCACCCCACCGCCGGCGTCCTTTCTCCGGCCTTCCAGACGTGCCCGTGGCCACCCTCGGCTTCGCGCTGGCACGAGTTGGTCGCTGCGTGTCGTTCCCTCGCTCTCTTGGCCGCGCTATAAAGGTCCGACGTCGTCGTCGACTTTCCTTTCTCTCCTCTGTTTCCCGACGCCGCCGTCTCAACTCCGTCGAGCTCCCCTCGACTCCTCAGTGCAAGCCAGTCTCGGCAAAGCAGTGTTCCAGTTTCGCCTCCTCCTTGCGAACCCATTCCACTAACTGTGATTGTCTGAGTCCACCGAGAACCGCCGCTGGCGACCCTTCTTCCTCGTGGCCGGCGATCTCACCCGAAGTTCCGTTTCACTGCGGCCAGCGTCATCCGGTGAGTCGTTGCCCTTGCTTGTTGACTCTACAGCTTTGTCTAGATGCGGTGGTGCTTAATCTGTCTTGCTTAGTCGTTTTGCCCACTGCAGTTGTCGGAACACCGTCGTCGATGAAGTCTGCTCCGCCGTGATCGCTGTTAGCGTCGAACTGTGTCACCGTAGCTTCTCCGGTCTCGCTCGTTGCTTTAACACGTTCTGGGTGAGCTACTGATGTTTACTGTACTCTTTGTTTCACCGTTAACGGCCTTGTTCCGCCGGCATAGCGTCGTCATGCAGCCACATCCGCCATGGCCGGTGTCAGCAGTGTTTCGTGCTGTCATTAATCTCCGTAGTGTCACAGATCGATGCGCCTAGTCGTTGTGAACGTTTTTGTGCTTTGGCCGTTGTCATTGGGCTCACCGGCGGCGAGTTTGTGTCGGTTAGCGCCGTCGTCGTCGCGGTCAAAGCTGAAGCTTAGGGATGACAAGTGGGTCCCGTATGTCAGCTACTGTGTAGTTCAAATGGAATTTTTCTATTTTCAGAAATAGATGAATAGTGTCTGTTTTTGTTATTTTGTGTAGATTTATTTAGAGCTCTAAAAATTGTGAAAATTTTTGTGTGACCTCTCTGTGATGAATATTATTTAGAAAAAATATGAACCTTGAAATTTGAATAAATTTTTAATGTTCAAAAATTCAGTCAATTAATTGATAAATGCAATTTCCATAATTTTTGTAGGCCACTGTATAACTCCAAAAATTATGAAATTGATTTTGGTACACTAATTTGTCATGAGGAATGTTACATAAAATTTTGAGGTCATTTGGAACAAGTTTATTTTTAGCTTAACTCTAAATTTAATTCAAAAATATGGATAAAAGCAAACCCTAAGTGCTAGTTTAGGGTTTGATCTTGTTTTGGTCATGTTTTGTGATCAGTAGGGTTTCAAGATCAATTTGGTTAAGTCACTTGGGTAATCCTTGATGGTAGGATTGCAAGTTGATTTTGTTGGCTTACAACTGTACCGTGAAGGAAAGTTATACTCAAGGTGTTATTACATTTCATGCACCATGAAAGCATCATGTTTACATTATCATCATATTGAAGCATATGTTATTATTTCGTGTAGAATCCGAGAGTGAACCGATTCTAGTTGAGCAAGTTATGGAAGAATCCCCGGTTGTCTCGGGATTTGATATTTGTGGTACTGATCCGAAACCCGAGATCGTTACCGAAGGCAAGCCCCGGTTTATGAATTAAACCATTACCTTGTTTATTTTGAAAAGTTTATCACCTATGTTACTTATTGCATTAAGTTAATTAATTCAAATGTTACCTACTTGATGCATTGCCTACCTTGTTAATTGTTTACCATCCTTGAAGATGATTTCATTTACAAAGGCGTAGAATGCTTAGTATGCTTTATGGTGGGTTTCAAAGTAAAAGTTTCGATACAATCAAAGATGGCATACTGACCAAAGAAAGAAAGAAGATAGAATGAACTAGAGACTAGTCGGGTGACTTATCTTGAATGTTGGGTAATGTTGCCGACTAAGTCGCTTAAAGGCCACTCATTGTGGATCTTCTGAACGAGACACTTTGTAGTACTGGTCACATACTCCGGTAAGCCTACTTCGGCTAATCCGATACTAAGACGAATGCCCACGCACTGGGAGTGGAGAGATGGCGGGAGTAGCGTGTACCCTCGTGGCTGGAATGTGGTCGGATTGGAGGTGTGCTGTGCTCTCGGGTGGCGTGGAGACGGCTTAGTATAGGAGGATCCTGTAGCGAGGTAGATATATGCAAGATTAAGTTCTACATATGTCGTGTGATAAGAAATCCCCAGCTGGGACTTGAATCAATTCGAATTGCCGGTGCTCCGCGGATATGGAGACTCGATTCATTACAGAAGCAATGCAGGACTGGTGAATTAATAAAACATGAGAAAAAAATGGAATGAGAAGGATTGAAATATGGGATATGAACACTTAGTTTGAGATAATGAACTAAAGTATTTAGGGGTAAAACTCGAAAATAGGATCAAGAATAGTAAGCTTTTGGCAAAGAACTTTTGAATCTTGCTACATCCGTACCTTGACCCAACACCTGCATCTCTAAGACCTTCACCCCTTTTTCGTTGGGTCAGTCTTGTTAAGTACTTTTATACTCAGGGTTTGTTAATCCTTGTTGTAGGTGAGTCGCATGCGCAGGCTTATTTTGGTCCCTGTTGCATGTCAGTGTTTGAAGTCGACGACGATGAGGAATGATGAATGGCCTTTGGACAAGGCACTAGTTTGTGTGAAATAAATAATGTTAATGTAATATTATCCCGCTACTATGGTTGTATGACACTTATGGTTTTGTAAGTTTGAAACAACTGGTTTGTAATATTAAAACTTAAGTATTCCGCTTTAAAATCTCTGGTATGTATATCGAAAACTGTTGTAATCTACAATGTCTGTGATTGGGATCCTGTTTGAAAAGATTCGTGGATGATTCGGGTTTCCCGAGGACACCCGACAGATCTGTTAAGTTGTTGGGGACTCGTGTACGCTATCAGAGGTCTGTTGAGACATCGATAGGTGTACGTGGGCCCAATTTCTTAGAGGTTCTGCCACAGAGTTGTACACCGAGAACATCAAGGTCTCAGGCGTGAGAAGACAAACCTGATGCTGCTCGGCACGATGGTCGTGGTTGGGCACGCGCCGTGCGTAGCACCCAAGAGGCCAGGACAGACTAACGACGTTCCGCGCGACCATGCATGGTGTCAGTGACCTGGATGCGATGACGATGGTAGGCAGGAATGGCCGCCCTACGGCAGCGACAGCGGGATCCACACGGTCGTCGCCTCTGACCGGCACGAAGCTGGACGACGCCGTCTCAATTTAGGGTAGGAAATCGACCCTCGGCTCGTCGAACGTTGGCCGGCGCCGGGGTTCTTCACTCGCCTCCCTGGATCAGTGCGGCGTCGGGCAGCAGGGTTTACTCGATTGGCGCGGCGGCAGCACGATGAATGCGGCGTCGGCACGATGGCCACGTGCGATCGGCGCGGCGGCGGCCCCGCTGGTTTCGCACGGCGTTTTTTTCTTTTTTTTATTCGCTCATGATCACCTCGGTGATGATTACAGGCTTCGATCGTGCGCGGTCTCTGGTCGCGAGGCCTGAGATGGAGGGCGCAGGGCGGCGGGGTGAGAAGCCTGGTATCCTACATCGAATTGTGGCCATCAGATTTGGTTAAGGTGTTTGATTAACCCTTGATTTTAATGATGCTGAATTCGTGTATGTATTTTTCTGGGTGCGTAATGGTTAGAGGCTCACAGCGGGGGATGTTTTCGTGGGGGGACCTAGTATAATTTCGACTGATCCATTATAGTAGAGATGTTAGCTGACATGTGGGGCATGATTGAAGTGGCCCCAATTATCAGTGGGATTATTCGGCGTGTGTTTGAGCTGCAAATCCAGCGATTCACTCGATTATAATGTTTGTTTAGATGAAAATTAATGTTGTTGAAGCCTTAGAGGACTGCAACGTAAGGTGAGGATATCTGAAGGGCTTGGCGGCATTGCCTGTGGTCATTGGTCAAACCTTGAGAGCCCCGGTTCAGCAATCGCAGTCCCACACGGCGGCGATGGACGGCGGCGGGGTCGAGACGGGCACGACGGCGGCCTGGATGGAGAAGCACCGGCAGATGTACGAGCGGGCCACCCGGCACCCGTTCACCGTCTCCATCCGCGACGGTACCGTCGACATGTCTGCCTTCAAGCGCTGGCTGGTCAGTCTCAGTCCCTCTATTTCCCCCATCAACTGATGCAGTGAAGTTCTCGTTGTGTAACGCCTTCAACCGCGATAAAATTGACGTGGGCTAAGCTTTGACCTTTCCATGTCTGATTCTTGGTTCGGGGTGTCGGGGCATCGAGCTCTGTACATCAAATTAAATACAACCAAGAAGTCTTGGAGTTGCTACTAAGATAACGAAAATTAGTGGTGATGGCTATAGAATTGAGTTGCGTGATTTGTGTGATTGTGTCAGAGGTGGTTTTGGGAGAACTATGAATTTAAAATGGAACCTGAAAGCGTGAAGGCAAAAGATTTCATAGTTTATAGATATATATACTGTGAGTGTGAAGATCTTGTGTTTCCAAAGGACTAGTCACTCTGAATGTCGTCATTCTGTTGTTTCCTCCGGTTGACAAAAATAACGACGGAGTAGAATTGGCTCTTAGTTGACACTGTCCAATTGTGATTGTGTAAAGTGATGAAGGATCATGTTCAGGGAACAGTGCAAAAAAGAAGTCAACTACTAGTTGGGCATAGTATTCTGCAAGAAAATAAATAAAACTAATAAAAATAAGAGTTACTCTATATGATCTTGGGTTCTTTTTCTAGTTGAAAGCATCTTGGTGGTTGATAATTATAAGTTAAATTATGATATATCTTATAGTACAGCAGTAGGGGAGCTTTCAGTTGTCTATATAGTGGTCAATTTGCTATGATTTTCTGAATGAAATTTCATTTTGGTTATGAGTACCATGAGTGGATAAATAGACTCGTTTCTTTGTCATATTCAGAGCCAGGACTATCTGTTTGTAAGGGAATTTGTTGCATTTATAGCAAGTGTATTGCTCAAATGCTGCAAGCAAGAAGACAGCTCGGACATGGAAATTATCCTGGGTGGAGTAGCTTCTATCAGCGATGAGATCTCTTGGTTCAAGAATGAAGCTACCAGATGGGGCGCCGATCTAGCAAGTGTTTCTCCCTTAAAAGCCAATTTAGAGTACCACAGGTTCATCTCGTTCAAACATTTGTAAAAATCCCACACAATAGCATGACTGAAGATCTATAACTGGCATCAACCTTGTTGTCAGGTTTCTCCAGAGCTTTACTGAGCCAGAGGTTAGCTATGTTGTTGCTGTAACAGCCTTCTGGATAATTGAAACCGTGTACCAGGACAGCTTCGGTTTCTGTATCCAAGATGGTAATAAGACGCCACCGGAGCTCCTGGGGACCTGCCAGAGATGGGGCAACGCTGGGTTCAGACAGTACTGCCAGTCTCTGCATAGCATCGTGGATCGCTGCTTGGCTAATGCACCAGCTGATGCTGTCAAGAGTGCTGAAGAGGCCTTCATCCGGGTACTCGAGCTGGAAATTGGTTTCTGGGAAATGAGCTCTTCTCAGTCCTAATTAGCAGCGTATTCTCTAAAGTCCAAACATCTACAAATAATCGAAGTATCGAACGAAATAAATGGTGCTCCGGGCTCAGACCCAGACATGAGCTGTATTTTCCTTCTTCTTCCCCCCCCCCCCCCCTGTGCCTCTGGTTCCACCTTTGCTCCTGTATCTTTCAGACGCAGAACTGATATGATGGTTCCATGTGAGACCAGATCAGATTTGCTATATCACGCTCAGGTGAAAAAGTCCCTCTTACACTTAAATTTTTGTGAGCATGTTATATGGAAAAAATGGATGTTTTAGAGAAATTGTACACCGATTAAATGTGCTGTAAGAATCAGGTAGAATATTCCTTCCCCACGCTCAAATTTTTAGTAACACCAATTCTGCTTAGATATTATACAAAGTAGTCACCTTAGATCTAGTAAAAGTAAAGTCAATAAATTTAGCATAGGTTAATAGTAACTAAAATTGGAATGTGGAAGAAGATTTTCACCTGAATTCTAGTTTTATTCCCTTCCATGCATATACTATTTAAAAAGAAGAAATAGAAGGCAAAGAAAAAGAAATAGGTGTGACGGATAATATTTCACCTGGATACAGGAGTAAACAATCCGTCCCATGCGAATACTTTGTCCAATCTCAAATTTCTCGACACAACTTCTTACGTGGCCCTGTTTGGGACAACGTATCCCAATCGCACGGTGCAGTGGCCGAGCTGCGGTGGAAGACCTGCAATTCGTCCCGCGCCTCGACGCCGCAAACGCTCCACCTCGGGCGTCCGTCCGTATCTGGACGCCGGACACGTAGCACGGACGCCGGACGCTAGGTGGCCTTACGTGGTCCATGTATTTTTTTTTCTCACCACATAAATATCTGGTCACTTGTACTTATCTCTCTGGTTCCATCTTATTTTTCTGCTCCATCTCTCTATTCAAAGCAACAGGGAGAGGAAGGATATTGTGGAGCCTATGCATCTCCTCCCCGTCTCGAACTCGCGCAGCCACCCGCCCCACGCGTGTCACGGCAATACCCACCCGCTCTCTGCACGCCGCGGCAAGCTCCACGTCCGCTGATGTGCGGAGAGCACTGTGTTGCCAGCGAGCTCCGTGCCACTGAAATCCATGTGTGTCGCTGTGCTCTACGCGCGTTGCCGCCGACGAGCGACTTGTTGCCGGCGAGCTCTGCGCTGCTGAGATCCGCGCCGCCGATAAGCTCTGCATTGGCGACCTCCGCGGCATCGAGCTTCGCGCCGGCGTCAAGCTCCGCGTCGATGAGCCTCTATTCGTCCGAGCAGCAAGTAGATGTTGCACTGAAAGCGTATGTTGCAAGAGTATGTTTCAAGTGTTTCAGGTGCTTCAGAGATATGTTGCAAGCGTTGTATATCGATATAACAAAAGTAAATCGGGATGTTACATATGTTGTAATGGTTATACACGTATGTTTTAAGTGTATATTCCAAATGTTTCATCTGTTCTAGACGTATGTTGTAATTATTTTATCTAGATGTTGCATATACATGCATGTTGCAAGCATATGTTTTAAGTGTTTCAGGTATTTCATACGTATATTTGCAAGCGTTTCATCTGTATATTGCATATGTTTGCAATGACTTTCAAGTGTTTTCATATGTTTTCGTAAATGTTTTAGACGCTTGTTTCAAATGTTTTATCTGTCTTCTTTTTGTATGTTGCAATTGTTACATCTAGGTGTTTCAATAATAAATTGTATGTTGCATATGGGAGAGGGGGGGGGAGAGAGGACGGTTAGCAGCATGGGTGACGTTCGGGGTGGCACTGGCGACGTCCTATGAGGCACGGGCCTGCTGCTGGCCGCTCGCTGCAGCTGTGCGGCACCGTCTAGAGGTTAGCGCCCCGGATCATACGTTCACGCGCTAGCAAGTCCTATTCCGTAAAATCACTCACGCAATACAACCCGCGGTGCATGAGTCTGGTGTGGTGGTGAAAATCAAGCGCGCCGCAGACCGTTTGGTGGAATTGTATGCTTCTGTCTATCGCCACGCCGCGAAAAAAAAAGCGGTCCCTAACAGGGCCTAGAAGACGTTAAATCGGCGATAGTTTACAGAATTGCTCACAGTATAATCATCAAGTACTAGAAGCACACCATCGAATATATTTCTAAGGATTATTACATCCTGCCTTGGAATTACAGTAGGAGCTCCTAAATATTTCTTGTAAATAACAAACCTCGCTTTATTCCACACCAAGCCAAGACTAAAAAAAGGAAGAAACCAAACTCAAACGCCAAAGGTGACGAAGGGAGCCGGCCCATCATCCACTGCATGTCTACATGTTGCCGTTGCCATCATGCCAAGCTAGCTAGATCAAGCGACAGCGATGGCGGAAGCCAGCCTCGCGCGGTTCAGTCCTCGTACGTGCGGCACTCCTTGGTCTCGGGGTTGTCCTTGCAGTACTCCTCGAGCGGGTCGACGCCCTTCTGCCGGTCGCGCGCGTGGCTGGCGGCCGCGCTGAGCTCCTCCACCTCGTCCCACGCCGCCACGCACTCGGCGCTCACCGGGTCATCCGCGCACGTCTCCTTGGCCTGCTTGATGCTCTCGGACACCTTGTTGGCAAGATCCGGCGGCGTGGCCGGCGAGCTGGCCGCCACGGCCACCAACCGGCGGTGCGCGCGCACCGGCCGGCCGACGAACGACACGACGTTCTGGCGGGACGGCAGCGGGGCCGGGGGCTGCGGGAGGCTTCTTGGTGCCGAGAAAACGGCTAGGGCGGCCACGGCGGTGACCGAGGTGGCCATGGCTTGACGAGTGTGTACTCTGGGAGTAGCGATAGAGAGAAGACAAAAGGATTTGGTTGCTTTGGGCTGGTAGGTATCCCGTTTTATGAGGTTTCCCCTCTTATCCCTTTCCTGCCAATTGTGTGGTGACAGATCAGCCACGGCAGATTTTCATTCTAGAAAGCTCTTTCCCTTTACTAATTTTTCTTATTTCCATGGCTAATTGAGCTGGTATTCGACTAAAAGAATTAGTAGTTGTTATCAAGTCAATTTAAGTAATAGTGTCCTTGTTATTCTAACCTCTGTTATTGTTTGGTGTGCAACTTTTATACTAGTATTCCTTCCGTTCAAAAAGGATAAGTACATTTGACCATTGGAATAAGGGTCGTGCTAGCGCCCGGACAACTGTACTGACGTGCGCTCGGACGCCCACGCACCCGCGTGCTGCTCTGCTCGCGCGTGCTGCGGCTACTCCTAATGCTAGGTCCGCGCATGCTGTTGCTGGGCCTGCACGCGCGCTGCTGCGCCTGCACGGGAGAGCATGTGCGTGGGGCCCGCCCAGCTGCATGCGAGGGAGGGAGGGAGCCCTGTGTTGACCCAATCGCATGATACGCTGTGGGGGCCACGCATGGTGGTGCAGGGGCACTTGGTTTTGCGCCCGTTTGGTGTTGGGCCGCTCAGTGCTGTGCAATCTACATGCGCGCATGCACTTTGACTAGGGAGTGTTCTGTCGTTTAGGTATTGACCACTCGTTGCGTGCACGTCCGATTATTGGAGTTGGCCCGCATGACAGAGATAGGCAGTGCTGGCTGGGTGCGTGCAGCGCGTACGTGCCCGCGAGTCAGAGCGTGTGGGGAGCAGCACTTGCTGCAGTGTACGTCTGAAAACAAGGTGAAACATTGCAAACATATGCTTACATATAGCCACTACAACATACGTTTGAAATAGATGAAACATTTAGAACACACACTTACAACATATGTATATAGTCACTACAATATATGTAATATTCTGGTGAAACACATACAACATCCAGCTGAAACAGCTGAAATATTTGGAACACACGCTCGCAATGTTCATCTTAAAAAACAGCTAAAACATTTGGAACATACACTTACAATATACATGTATAGCCATTACAACATGTGCAATATCCCGATCTACTTTTGCAACATCCAGATAAAACACTTGAAACATTCGCTTGCAATCTGCGCTTTCAGCGCAATGTCACCTTGGTGCTTGGACGAATGAAGGCTCGTCATCGTGGAGCTCGTCGGTGCGGAGGTCGACGGCAGCACATGTAGCTCGTCGATGCGCCAACAGAGTGGTGACCCTGGGCGAGCACCTGCTCGACGGCCTGGGCGCGAGGCCATAGCACCCCTGGGCGAGCACCTGCTCGGTGGCCTGGGAAGAAAATGCGGGAGCCACGAGCACCCTTGCTGAGCAGGAGGGCATGGGTGAGCACCTGCGGCTGGCGCAACGTGGGCCTTCACGTGGACCCCGCAGGCGGGGCGAGCAAAAATAGTTGTACGTGCAGGCGTGTGTGGGGCCGACCGGTGGCAGGTCAATGTGGGGCCCGTGCAACTGCGTGGCAGGGCCGCCCATGCACGTGTAGCGTGGTTCCCGCGTCGTTCTTTTGCGTGGGCCAGGGGGTGTTGCTGGCTGTTGGGGAGGCACGCCTGCGTATAGGCTTTGACCCTGTACGGGCCCGTGGAAAGCCGCGCCGAGTGTGGAAAGCCTCGTCCAGTCCGTCCGGACATTCTCACTGGGACATTACCGTTGGAAAAATCAATAATAGTAAATTACACGGCCGGTCCTTAAAGTGTTTGGCGGGTTTCGTCTAGGTCCCCAAACTACGAAATCGCACGTTTGGTTCCCTAATGTATTTAAGTGATCTCATCCAGGTCCAAAATAGACACGAGGAGGGTTAGAAGCTGACGTCGTCCATGTGAACATGATTTAAGCGTGGACATGGCGTATGGCGGCAGCAGAGGCGGCGGATGGCGGCAACGTGGTGGCAGCGCAATTGATGGACGGCTGAGGCCTGCCCGCGCCTGCGCGTGCGAGAGATGGCGGCGCAGAGCATCCGCATGCCCAAGTGGAGGCGGTGGTACGGTAGCAATGGCCGTGCGCGACGGGGCAGCGATGTCCGAGTGCATGCCCACGACGGCGTGCGCGTGAAGCATAGCGGCGCTCGCCCATGGCGGCCTGGGCGCGAGGCAGAGCGATGACTCTCGTCTGCGGCAGCGTACACGCGGCTTGCCACCTCGCCCCGCGCGGGCAAGAATGAGGAGTAGCGTTGCGCTGCTCTGCACTTCCTCTCTGTCCTGTTTCAGAGCCCCGCCATTGACGCCGACGAGCTTCGCCCGCCAAATTTGCCACCGTCGTCTCGCCATTGTCTGGTTCCCCTTTACTCCAGCTGTGCCAAGGCCTTCTCCACCCTCTCCACCAGATTGCGCCGCTGCTCATCCAAGGTAGAGGCGCCTCGGTCCAAATCTCGGCGCGACAGCCGCCATGGCCGCCAGACGCATGCTCACGCGTGGTTGTCCTCCCACGATCTCGCTCTACCCTGCCTCTCTCTCTCGATTCGGGGTCACCCTAGGCAGTAGAAGCATCCGCGGTGGGACGTGAGGGTAGCGCTGCCGCGACGATGCTGGAACACGGCATGCCGCCGCCATGACCTCACCGCGCCACGCTACCGTGCACGCGGACGCGCCTCGCTGTCGCTCTGCCGTAGCCGTGCTGCACGAGGGCTCTTGTCGCCAGCAATGACGAATGACGCCGCCATGGAGCACCATACATGCACCATGTGCGCGTGCAGCAGCCACGTCCGGCACCTGGTTGCACCATGTGGAGTACCGGAGCATGCAGGCGTCGAGCCAAACAATGGCGTCTGTCCTGAGCACGCAGAGGCACCACACGTGGGACTGCGCGGACGGGATGCACCGCACGCGCCATCGTCGTCGGACATGATGCCACCGACCGGGCCGCGCCCGTTGCTGTAGTTTCCGCTGCTGGACCTCAATGACGGATGCGGTGGCTGTGGTTTGAGCGTTGCGCCGTTGCGGTGGCCGGGGCAAGATTCGGTCGCATGAGATCCAGACCTCGACCGTCGCCGGCGCGCCGTCGTCTCCATCCGCGGCGCTGTGAGCCCGGCTGCGCTCAGGCGTCTCCACCCACGGCCTCGCGCGCGGGAATTCTCGCGGCCACGCGCGAGCCACGATCCGCGGTGGCACGAGGTCCTGCCAGCGGTCGCTCGTGCAAGGCTCCGCGGTGGGTGCGAGGTCCCGCGGCCGCACGCGAGCGAGGTCTCGCCGACGGTCAAGACGATCCGCAACGAGTTTGGCGTGCGCCCTCTTGCTCCTCAACCACCTCTTGGAGCTGCTCGAGCGCCTCGGCGTCAACGCCACGAACAGCAGCGGTGTTCCAGCGGCGCCGACGCCGCCAGACTAGTGGTGGCTACAAAGGAGTCCGACCAGAGCGACCTGGTGGACCGTGGACCTGAAAGAACCGGCTGCCACCGCGGACGAGCGGGGCAACAAGCTGGCGCTCGCGTTCTTCTCCGCGCCGCCAGCCATGAACGACACCTGGGTCATGTTCCCATTGGAATCGGACGCCTACGCCGCCGCCTCGGAGCCAGCGGTGACCTTGGTGTGGTAGAAGCCGGCGGTAGAGCCCGGGAAGGCGGAGTGGGAGACTGGGAGCTAGCGCTGGTGGAGATGGCGAGCCTTGGAAAGCGGAGTGGGAAGCTGGGAGCTAGCGCTAGTGAAGCTAGCGCCGGAGACGGAGGAGGAAGACAGGCAAGGGGAAAGAGCCATGTCACCTTAAATCGTCCACGTGGACGGCTATGTCAGCTTCTAACCCTCCTCGTATCTATTTTGGACCTAAATAAGATCATTTAAATATATTAGGGAGTCAAATGTGCGATTTCGTAGTTTGGGGGCTCAAATGAAATCCGTCTAATACTTTAAGGACCGGCCGTGCAATTTACTCAATCAATAAATTAAATTTTAACCATTAATTTCTCTTATTATATGAGTAGTTAACTGTTAAAAAACCAATATCGTTTTAGCGGCACTTCAAACACAAAAATTATTAATGTAAGTTTTATGTCCTAAACTTGGCTATAATTTGATTAATTATTGATTAAAATTTGTATAATTTAACTTTTCTTCTGTGTCTGGATGGAGGGAGTAGAATGATTGTATGCTGACACTTATGGCAGCTAGATTTTGAGTTTTTTTAGGGAATGCTAGATTTTGAGTCTAATGCCCTGTTCGGCTGGCTGGGAAAACGGCTGATGCTGATACTGATTTGTTGTGAGAGAAAAACACTGTTATTTCGCTGAAACGATACGGCTGATAAGTTCAAGCGAACAGGACATAAAGCAACGTTTTGTGATTTGATACTTTGAAATAAGTTAGAGCTAGATTTGCCATATTTGGTTTGATCCCGAGTTTGGATGAACCATTTATATTTTTGACATTTTAACAATAGAAAATAAAATAAGATCTTTAAAAGTAATCGAGGACAAGGGACTGAAGGCCATGTGTGCCATGGGTCTGCATGTGCAGATCCGTCTCTAGCCTCTTGTCATTGTTCACCACTACTACACACGACTCTGAAAGCGATTTTTAGAGGTTTTATGATTTCTTCCCCAAAGATGGTTTTCATTTCGGGCGAGAGATTGTTTCAGAGAAGTACCATCTCTAAAAATCATTTTTAGGGATTGTTGGTATTACCCGTCAGGAATTGTCTAAAATTCTAAATTTCCTCAATTAAACCCAGAATAATCCCGATAGTCTCCTATACGTGTCTCATGCAGCCTAAGGAACAACACGAACATTGCTTGCACAATTAAGTAATCATCACATAGATACATAGAGAACAAAGTTTATATGTTTATGTCTTGAACATAGTACGAAAGATGTTGATCATGAATGATACAACAGATGAAACCATCCTTAACTAGCTCAGACGAGTTAAGTCATATGAGACCTTGGCTCACCAAGTCATATTTT